GGCGGAGGTTGCAGTGTGCTGAGATCGTGCCACTGCCTCCAGCCTGGGTGACAGAGTGAAACTCCATCTCAAAAAAAGAAATGTTTTAAAATTAGATAATTGAATGATAAGCAAATGTGACAAAAAAGTGTTAATAGTAGGTAAGTCAGGGTAAAGAGATATATAGGCATTTTTTTTGGTATTAGTTTTTGTGAATTTGAAATTACTTCCAAATAAAAAGTTTAACATTATAAAGTAGAGCTATTAGTTAGCTGTTCATGGGACTGTAATTGTTCCCCAGGTACTCTTAGATTCTTAGCAGTAGGATTAGAAGACCACTGTACTATGTGATTTCTTTTTTTTTTTTTAATTGCATTTTAGGTTTTGGGGTACATGTGAAGAACATGCAAGATTGTTGCATAGGTACACGCGTGGCAGTGTGATGTGCGGCCTTCCTCCCCATCACCTGTATCTGGCGCACTATGTGATTTCTAAAGCGTTTGTAGGATATTTTGAGATTGATTTCCTGAGAGTTTGATATGGGGTACCCCTGTTTCAGTTCTGCAGAAATAGGAACTTGAGAGATACCCATGAAGAGTGGAACAGAAGAGTGAGGATCAAGAAAAGGATTATTACTTTGACGCAGAGTTTACTGTGGCCCAAATGAAAGAACATCAGAGTGTGTCACGTCCATATCCTGGCAGGGAACAAAAGGAGAAAACAGAGAAAATGAAGAGGTTGAGGTGTGATCAGGCATAAGGGAACCAGGGCCTGGAGAAAGAGGCATCCGGGAACTAGCAATATAGAGCGCCGTTGCCTCCCCTGGGCCGAAGGAGCAGGAGGGAGAGAGGTACCAGACCTGGTGAGAGGCGTTGCCCTGGGCAAATGCTTGAGGCCTCATCCAGCAGGGAGGATGGAGTGGGGAGACACGTCCCACCCTTAGTCATCTCCTGTCCTCCACTTTCCCGCGGGGATGCTACTGCATCCAATGGGAAGCCACTGTTGCTGTGGTTGTTCACGTCCGCCTCTTGGGGCACAGATCAGAGTGGAGAGGGTCTGAAGGACCACGTGGAGACTGTCCAGAACATGGGAAGGTAGAGAAAAAAAACATGGGGAGCTTATGGACAGAGACGGTGGAAAGGTGGTGAAGATGGAGGGGAAGAGGCATGTGGTGTTTGAATATCGCCCCTGACTGCCCCACTATCTATGTCATGTATGTGTGTCAGTGAATGAAAAGCAAAATTCCCTGACCCTGCTTTGGGAAATCAACGGAATTCATCTGAGTTCAGCAAGATTGATCTTAGTTTTTTTTTTTTTTTTTTTTTTGAGTTGAAGTCTTGCTCTGTTGCCCAGGCTGGAGTGCAGTGGGGTGATCTTGGCTCACTGCAACCTCCACCTCCCAGGTTCAAGCAGTCCTCACACCTCAGCTTCCTAAGTAGCTGGGACTGCAGACATGTACCAACACACCTAGCTAATTTTTGTATTTTTAGTAGAAATGGGGTTTCACCATGTTGTCCAGACTGCTCTCGAACTCCTGACTTCACATGCCAGGTGACAAAGAAATGGTAAGGTAAATTGATCCCTTTTGTGTAGTTTTATTTGATGAATGTTTTAGAAATCCTTCTTTTTGTGTCTAGCTTTCTGTACCCTCCCTGTGAATAAGTTGAGTATCAAGAGATAGAGCCATTCTCGTGCTATTTATTTATTTATTTCAGACAGAGTTTCACTCTTGTTTTCCAGGCTGGAGTGCAATGGCAATGATCTCAGCTCACTGCAACCTCTGCCTCCTGGGTTCAAGTGATTCTTCAGCCTCAGCTGCCTTAGCAACTGGTATTACAGGCATGTGCCACCATGCGCAGCTAATTTTGTATTTTTTAAGTAGAGATGGGGTTTTGCTATGGCCCCGTAGCAAAGTATGGGGCCACTATGCCTGGCCTACTCTCATGTTATTAGACCTGCATTGAGGAAAGATTATTGGGCAGGCGCAGTGGCTCACGCCTGTAATCCCAGCACTTTGGAAGGCCAAGATGGGCAGATCACTTGAGGTCAGGAGGTGGGTATCTGTAGTCGCAGCTACTCGGGAGGCTGAAGTGGGAGGAGTGCTTGAATCTGGGAGGCAGAGGTTGCAGTGAGCTGAGATTGTGCCACTGCACTCCAGCCTGGGCAAAAGAGCAAGACATGGTCTCAAAAAAAAAAAAATATATATATTTTTTCAGAAGATACATAGATGTTTAAATGGTCTGTGATTCAGGTCATTTGTAATATACACTGTTCATATTATTTCTGTGTCTGGATTTAAAAAATGACAAAAGCAATATATTCTTATTGTATAGGAGTAAGACATACAGATAACCAGAGTAGCCATGTGTTTCTCTTGGTTCAAGGATTAGCAGAAGGAATGTATAAAGAAGTGAAATTCGTGTATGTGACAAGTGTTTGTGTACTGCACACGATGTTCCATGTAGACGTTTGGAGGGGAGGCGTAAAACCGTGTGCAAAGCCCTGCCCTCAGGGTGGCTGTAGGTAGCTTGTTAAGCGTTCTGGTCCAAGGCAGCAACAATGCTCCCATCTGGCCACAAGGCGGCGGCCTCATACAGCAGAAGGGCACCTGCCTCCTCCCCAGGAGCCTGGTGTGAATGAATGGCTGTGGCCTCCCTGGTCACTGACCTGGAATTCTCTGAGATTGCCTAGGGTAGAGTGGGATGTCTTGACCCTGTCCCTTTGGTATGTTCACTTACACTAGCGTTGTGCACAGCTGTCTAGAACAAGCGGTTATGACATTACCGTAATGCAAGAGAGCCCTTTGGGTGGTCAGAGCTAATTCCCGCAGGTTTTTACACATGATGAGGTCTGGAGAGATTTCCTAGTCCCTTTACCATGTTGGAGTAATACATAGCTTAATAGTAGAAGCAAAATTTAAGTTCAGTGCAAAGAAAGAATTTTAAATCACAGAAATTTTACGTTTCTTTTTCAGTCTTTGTCTGTGAGCACAGGTGGTGTTTCATGTGTGATGATTGTAGTGAGTATGTATGTAAATAATGCCTTCATTTAACATGCTACAAATGATGCAGCCGTGTAGTTTTGAAAGCATAGTTAGTGCTTGCTGGTTGATTTTTTGAGTGGCCAGGATTAAGATAAAATCAGTAATTCCAGTAAAAGTTATTGTGGCACAATATTTCTTGAAAGAGCAGAAAATGAAACTCTGACTTGAGGGAGAAGAAATGGTCCAAAGGTACTTTGCCCTGTTTCTGAGAAATGCTTTTTTTTTTTTTTTTTTTAAAGAGATGGGGTGGGGGGGTCTCACCCTAGCTGGTCTTGAACTCCTGGCCTCAAGTGATCATCCCACCTCAGCCTTTCAAAGGAATTACAGGTGTGAGCCACCGAGCCTGGCCCCTAAGAAACACATTTTATAGGAAGCTTTGGCAGCCAAGTTTATAACGTTTAGCTGGTCTGAATATTTACTTGTAGGTTCTAATCTTTCTGCTAGGACAGGGTCTCTAGAAAATTTAGAGACTAGCTTTATTTCTTCCTCCCTTTATCAAAGCTTCCTTTCGAGCTCTGGAGACACCCATGTGGTTCTAAGCAGTCCCCACAAGTTTCTGGTTTGGGTTTCCTCCTGTCCTCCCAGACCCGTAGATTTGAAAGCTCTACCCCTTTTCTTTCGTTTGCATGTAATTGAGGAAGTATCTGTGAGCTTTTTCTCCTCTAGGGTGCAGCAATGTTCTGTTTTCGAGGCATCTGGCTTTTTGAGGCTCTCTCACTCACGGCAAGTGAGAATAGAAGAATGAGACAATCAGATAAGCAGAGTTGCCTTGTGTTTTTCTCGGTTCCAGGATCAGGAGAGGGAATGTAGAAAGAAGTGGCATGCCTTCACGTTACAGACATTACGTACTGCCTTTCAGTGCCCTCCGTGTTTTCGCACTTTCCCATTCCTGTGGGTGGGTTCCCGTGGTTTGCTGTTGTTGGTCCTGTTACGTGTTCACTTTATTTTATTAGGAATGAGAAGCCAGGTTACTGCCCAGAACCAGTTCTTCTCAAAGTGTGGGTCCCAGACAGGTAGCATGAGTCTCACCTGGGAACTTGTTAGAAATGTAAATTCCGAAGCTCACCCCAGACGTTCCAAATTGGAAACCCCATGGATGGGACCCAGCTTACTCTGTATGATCAAGTCCTCCAGGGATTCTGATGTGCTCCGAAGTTTGAGAATCACTGTCCTAAAGCATCGCTACTTTAATCAGAGAATTTATACCATTAGCTCCCAGCCCCCTCAAATCTTCATATTATGTTGGTATAAAAACTGATGATTTCCTAGCTCTTGAGGTCAAACACTTAACAATTTGTATTACGTATTTGATTTTTTTGAATGTCAGTATTTCTGCAACATAATGCTTTAAATTTAAAGTTGATAATACTTGTGCTTGATTTGTTGACATGGAGTTTTGGGATTTTGTTGGCTGCTGTTGACTCATCAGCTGAATGAGTGTGGTGGGGAGGCGGTGTTATGTGGATCCCACTCTTTCACCATAGCATTTTCCCATTTCCTCCCCCAGTGCCTACTACTGCAGTTGTTCCATTGAGTCAGTCTGCCAGTGGGTGACACTAGCTTTGCGAATGAGCCTGTGCTGGCTCTGCACACTCCGAGCTGCCTTCTGCTTCTCAAGGAGTAGCGACAAGTCTGTGCCATGAGACAGTCGTGCTTCTCAGCTCTGCCTTCAGTCCTTTAAATAACACGTTTTCTTGAAGACTTGAGTGCTAGTCTGGCAGTACAGTCAGGCCTGAAAAACACAAAGCGGAAAACAACCAGAGTCCTTTGTGCTGCGGACTGAAAACTGAGATGAACTTAAAAAACAAGACTTTTAGAATATTATTTATTCCAGGACAGGTCAGAAGTCAGAAATGCAAATATTCCCACCCAAGAAATCAGTGCAGGTTTTACTAAGTGAAGATTGGGCAAAATAGATGCTTAGGGAGAGATTAGTGACTTGAAATATCTTGAGTATTTTTATATCTCTTTCTCCTAGACCTGGAAAGGAAAGAGCAAGAATTAGAGCAGCTGAAAATGGATTGTGAGCACTTTAAAGCCCGCCTGGAAACCGTGCAGGCCGACAGCGTGAGAGAGAAGAAGGTACCATGCTCAGGGACAGGCTCTCACCGTGCCGGAAAGTGGGGTTGGCTTACGGCCTTTCGGTTATGATAAGCAGTGGGTCTGCATTTTCACCTTAACCCCCAATACACCGTATTTGTAAATGTATGTTTTCTTAGTGGGCTGGAATGTCGGTGAGCAGATGGATTTGATAACCAGCTAACACGTAGGTCATTCACTTGCTATCTTTTAACTTTTATGTTCAAAAATCTGCCCTAAAATATAAAGGTTCATAATTATCTTAGTTCATTTTGTGTTCCTGTAACAAAATATCCGAGGCTGAGTAATTTATAGAAAGAGGCAGGCTGGGTGCAGTGGCTCATGTCTGTAATTACAGCACTTTGGGAGGCGGAGGCAGGCAGATCACCCGAGGTCAGGAGTTCGTGACCAGCCTGACCAACATGGAGAAACCTCGTCTCTACTAGAAATACAAAAATTGGCCAGGCATGGTGATGCACACCTGTAATCCCAGGTGCTCGGGAGGCCGAGGCAGGAGAATCCCTTAAACCTGGAAGGTGGAGGTTGCAGTGAGCCAAGACCGTGCCACTGCACTCCAGCCTGGGCGGCAGCAAGATGCCAGGTCAAAAAAAAAGAAAAAGAAAAAAAAAGAGGTTTATTTATGTTAAGATTTTGGTGGCTGGAAGGTTCAAGATTGGGCATCTTTTATCTTTTTCTGGTGAGGGCCTCAGTCCTCAGTCTCCTTCAAATCATGACAGAAGGGGAAGCAGGCTGTGTGACGACATCATGTGATGAGAGGAAGCCAGACTCTCTGCTGCCAGGGAAACTAATCCATCTATTCATGAGGAATCCACTCCGTGACCCATCACCTCCCACTAGGCCCACCTCTAAGAGTGCCACACTGGGGATCAGATTTCAGCATGAGTCTGGGTGGGGACAAACCACATCTGAACCATAGCAATGAGAATCTTGGGGGAAAAATTACGTACATTGCATCTTATCATTGGAGATAGATGTATTAAATCAGAAGTACTTGTGATTAATTTGGGGATTATTATATTTTTGACATAACCAGTTATATTTTATATAAATATTAGAGAAACACAATATTTCTTAAAAGCTTTGTATTTTAACTTTTTGTGTGGCATAACTTATTTTCTTTTCCACACAACTAGAACTATTCTAACACTTCTTATAAAATTTGGGGCTTGGATGTATTTTTATTTTGAATAATAGTAGTACAGGTGCAGTGGCTCACCCCTGTAATCCTAGCACTTTGGGAGACCAGGGTGGGTGGTTTGCTTGAGCCCAGGAGTTCGAGACCAGGCTAGGCAACATTGTGAAACCCTGTCTCTATACAAAAAATACAAAAGTAAGCCGGGAGTGGTGATGTGTGCCTGTAGTCCCAGCTACTCAGCAGACTGAGGGAGGAGAACTGCTTGAGCCCAGGAGGTGGAGGTTGTAGTGAGCCCAGATCGCTCTCCTGTGCTCCAGCCTGGGTCACAGAGCCAGACTCAGTCTTAGAAAGAAAGAACCATCCCAGGAAATGCATGCTGAGGAGGAGACAGCCATGATAAAGTAGTTTGAAATCGCCAGAGTTTTGTTGCCCTGGAACTTTGACCTTAAAATGTGGGAATATTTTACCCAACTATTCCCTGTTTTTAGTTAAAAATCTTGTTAATACAGATGGAAACCCTTGTGAGCTTAATACAGAGGAAGGGCCCCACCAGGTTAATAGAGAGGGAGGCTCCCACAAGGTTAATAGAGAGGGGAGCCCCCTCAAGGTTAATAGAGAGGGGAGCCTCCCCAAGGTTAATAGAGAGGGGAGCCCCCGCAAGGTTAATAGAGAGGGGAGCCTCCTCAAGGTTAATAGAGAGGGGAGCCCCCTCAAGGTTAACAGAGAGGGGGAGCCCCCCAAGGTTAATAGAGAGGGGAGCCCCCTCAAGGTTAACAGAGAGGGGAGCCCCCCAAGGTTAATAGAGAGGGGAGCCCCCTCAAGGTTAATAGAGAGGGGAGCCTCCCCAAGGTTAATAGAGAGGGGAGCCCCCTCAAGGTTAACAGAGAGGGGGAGCCCCCCAAGGTTAATAGAGAGGGGAGCCCCCTCAAGGTTAATAGAGAGGGGAGCCCCCCCAAGGTTAATAGAGAGGGGAGGCTCCCACAAGGTTAATAGAGAGGGGAGCCCCCTCAAGGTTAATAGAGAGGGGAGCCTCCCCAAGGTTAATAGAGAGGGGAGCCCTCTCAAGGTTAACAGAGAGGGGGAGCCCCCCAAGGTTAATAGAGAGGGGAGCCCCCTCAAGGTTAATAGAGAGGGGAGCCTCCCCAAGGTTAATAGAGAGGGGAGCCCCCTCAAGGTTAACAGAGAGGGGGAGCCCCCCAAGGTTAATAGAGAGGGGAGCCCCCTGAAGGTTAATAGAGAGGGGAGCCTCCCCAAGGTTAATAGAGGGGAGCCCCCGCAAGGTTAACAGAGAGGGGGGAGCCCCCTCAAGGTTAATAGAGAGGGGAGCCCCCCAAGGTTAATAGAGAGGGGAGCCCCCCAAGGTTAATAGGGGAGTCCCCCCAAGGTTAATAGAGAGGGGAGCCCCCCCAAGGTTAATAGAGAGGGGAGGCCCCCAAGGTTAATAGAGAGGGGAGCCCCCCCAAGGTTAATAGAGAGGGGAGCCTCCCCAAGGTTAATAGAGGGGGAGCCCCCCATGGTTAATAGAGAGGGGAGCCCCCCAAGGTTAATAGAGAGGGGAGCCCCCTCAAGGTTAATAGAGAGGGAAGCCCCCACAAGGTTAGTAGAGAGGGGAGCCCCCACAAGGTTAATAGAGAGGGGAGCCCCCGCAAGGTTAGTAGAGAGGGGAGCCCCCGCAAGGTTAATAGAGAGGGGAGCCCCCACAAGGTTAGTAGAGAGGGAAGCCCCTACAAGGTTAATAGAGAGGGGAGCCCCCTCAAGGTTAGTAGAGAGGGAAGCCCCCACAAGGTTAGTAGAGAGGGAAGCCTCCACAAGGTTAGTAGAGAGGGGAGCCCCAGCAAGGTTAATAGAGAGGGGAGCCCCCTCAAGGTTAGTAGAGAGGGAAGCCCCCACAAGGTTAGTAGAGAGGGGAGCCCCCTCAAGGTTAGTAGAGAGGGAAGCCTCCACAAGGTTAGTAGAGAGGGGAGCCCCAGCAAGGTTAGTAGAGAGGGGAGCCCCAGCAAGGTTAGTAGAGAGGGGAGCCCCTGCAAGGTTAGTAGAGAGGGGAGCCCCAGCAAGGTTAATAGAGAGGGGAGCCCCCTCAAGGTTAATGTAGAGGGAAGCTCCTGCAATTTGCTGTAACAAGGTCGTTTCTCTTCTGGCAGCTGCCTTATCTGTAGCGTTTTTTGGTGTCTCTGTCCACGCCTGTACAGATTATAAGGCAGAACTCTAGAAACTTCTTGTTTTTATTTCTTTTGAGACAGGGTCTTGCTCTGTTGCCCAGGGTGGAGTGCAGCGGTGCAATAATACTTGCTGCATCTCGACCTCCTGGGCTTATGTGATCCTCCTCCTTGGCCTCCAGAGTGACTGGACTACAGAGATGTGCCATGACACCCAGCTAAATTTAATTAATTAATTTGTTTACAAGAAGAATTCTAGTGAAGTATAATCTTTAAAACAATTAAAAATTTTTTTATAGAGATGGGGTCTCACTGTGTTGCCCAGGTTGGTCTTGAACTCCTGGGCTCAAGCGATCCTCCTGCTTCGGGCCTGGGATAAGAAGTCGGTCATTGGAATTCATCAAAATTTAAACGTTTGCTTTTTGAAAGAACCTGTGGATATAAAATGACCACCTAGAAACCGGGAGAAAATACCTGCAAACCATGTATTCAGCAAAGGACTTGTATCTAGAATATGTTAAGAGCTCAAACTCAAAAATAATAAGAAGAAAAAGAACAGTTAAGGCAACTTTGAAAAAGACGAATGAATTGGGAAGAAATAAAAAAAAGTCCAATTAGAACATGGGTAAAAGACATGAAAAAAAGTTTCATAAAAGAGAACATGCAGACAGAAAATAAGTGCATGAAATGGTGTCACTAGCTGTCAGGGACATGCAGAACACAACCACAACACACCCATCAAAATGACTGCAATTAAAAATGGAGATAACACCAAATACTGCTTAGGAGGTGGAGACAGTGAATCACTCATACGTTGTTGGTGGGAATATAAAATGGTACAGCCAGTCTGGAAAACAACTGGGCAGTTTCTTCCAAAACTAAACATGCACGTGCCGTACAGCCCAGTGATTGTACTCTGGGCATTTATCACAGAAGAGTGAAGGCGCATACACAAAAACCTCTACATGGGTGTCCCTAGTGTCTTCATTAGCGGCAGAAAAACCTTGGAAACTATCCAAACTTCTTTCAGTGGAGAAATGGCTAAACGAATTGCAGCGTGTACGTACCGTGGAATACGAAGCAGTAGAAGGAAGCAAACTAGTGACACATGCAGCTTGGATGTGTCTGAGGAGACAGGCACTGGTGGCTCACGCCTGTAAGCACTTTGGGAGGCAGAGGCCAGAGGATTGCTTGAGCCCAGGACTTTGAGACCAGCCTGAGCAACGTGGTGAAACCCTGTCTTTAGTACAAAACATGTAATTCATTTTAAAAAAGGAAAAGAAGAGGTCAAGGCAGGTGAATCATGGGGTCAGGAGTTTGAGACCAGCCTGGCCAACACAGTGAAACTCCATCTCTACTAAAAATACAAAAAATTAGCCACACGTGGTGGCACGCACCTGTAATCTCAGCTACTGGGGAGGCTGAGGCAGGAGAATCGCTTGAACCCAGGAGGCAGAGGTTGCAGTGAGCTGAGATCATGGACCAGGCGTGGTGGCTCACCCCTGTAATCCAAGCACTTTGGAGGCCAAGGCGGGTGGATCACCTGAGGTCGGGAGTTCACGAGCTGTTGGGCCACTGCACTCCAGCCTGAGCAACAGAGTGAGACCTTATCTTAAAAACAGGCCGGACGCGGTGGCTCACGCCTGTAATCCCAGCACTTTGGGAGGCCGAGGCGGGTGGATCATGAGGTCAAGAGATTGAGACCATCCTGGTCAACATGGTGAAACCCCGTCTCTACTAAAAATACAAAAAATTAGCTGGGCACGCGTGCCTGTAATCCCAGCTACTCAGGAGGCTGAGGTGGGAGAATTGCTTGAACCCAGGAGGTGGAGGTTGCAGTGAGCCGAGATAGCGCCATTGCACTCCAGCCTGGGTAACGAGCGAAACTCTTTCTCAAAATAAATAAATAAATAAATAAATAAATGAAAATAAAATAAATAAAATTAAAAAAAACAACAAAGTAATTCAATATTCTCCAACAGTTGTGACTATACCAGGAGGCCAGGATCTATTTCCTCTATGGTTCAAATGTTGCTACTGTCAGGGCCCTTTCCTGGCCTGGCCTCCTCACATCATAAGCAGGGTTCAAGACCCAGCACACCTCCTCCGCTGACCCAACAAAATTCCTGTGTGGAGGGAACGTACCCACCATGGCCAGGAACGAAGTCTTCGGTTGCTTTTTAGCATCTGTTTTGAAAAGACTCTCCTTTTTCCATTGAACTGCACTGGCACCTTCATTGAAATCAATCGACATGGCAGTGTTTCACTGACCTGTATGTCCATCCTTATGCCAGTGTCACACTCGTTCTATTTCGGTAGGTTTATAATTAGTTTGTTTTTTCCTCTGAGTCAGGCACTGTTAGTTTTCGAACATTGTTCTTTTTCAAACAGTTTTTTAGGTATTCTGAGTCTTGTGCGTTACCACAGAGAGTTTGGAATCAGATTATCACCTTGTACGGGAGGAGTCTGCGGAGACTTTGATAGGGATTGTGTTGAATGTGTAGGTCAGTTTCGGAGGAATCGGCATCTTACCAATATTGATCCTTGTAATTTTTGAGCACGGTACACCTCTTTATTTAGCTCTTCTTTACTTTCTCTCAGTAATGTGTTGTACTTTTCATTTTATAGGCCTTGCACCTCATTCTTATTTTTGACGTTCCTGGGAATGCTATGATTCTCTTAACTTATTTTGATATTATTGTATTACGTGTGGAACCCTGTGTTGGGGCATATCCTGCTGCAACTACCAAATGTGACCGTAGTGAGGAGAGTCCTGCCTGCTTATTCTCAGTAGTCTCTTTGTGGTCGTGCAGAAGAACCACCATACCCTGACTAATTGAGATGCAGATTGCTTAAGTGTGAGAAAAAGTGGAATTCCAAAAGGAAGTGCTATGACATGTTTTTTTCCATGTGTCACCATGACTTGTGTTCAGCTACAAACACTGGGAAGATGAATCTAGGAGTTCAGATTGTTGTTATAATGAAGACATTAAAAACCCGGAGTGACGAATCACATGATGCAGTTTAGCGTTCATACACATTCCTACATATATACACGTATCATTCCTACGTATATACACACGCATGTATGTAGGAATGTGTATGAATCTCTGCCAAATGCATTGTCTCCAGGTAAATATGAGTGGGCCACCCTAATCTAAGTGATGAGGTCCACATTTTTGATTTGTGGCCCCAGAGCTCCCTTTTTCCTCTGAGGGGTGAAAAGTCCCCTCTACTTTGTCTTGTATTCCTCTCTCTAGGAGAAAAATCTGCAACATTTAATGTGCTTTAACTTTGTGCTTTATGTAACTATTACATTTGGTATAAATGAATTTAACTAGGGTTTTATATTTTTCAGTTTTTGTCTTATTAAATCTCATCATTTGAGGGAGTTTCAGGTACCTGGTGCTGACGGTTGGAGAGGCCAGGAAGCCCCACATCACTCTAGTAGTACACACAGGGTGAACCCTTGAGGTGTGTTTGTGTTGTCAGAGGGGCTGCATCAGGATGGCCATTCCCTGCACTTCCCTTGTGAAGAGAGCCGTGGCAGAGACTTGCCCAGCTCCCGGTGGGCTCAGACGTTGCTGGTGGGAGAGTAGGAAACTCTTCCTAGCCTCCATCTTCTTGTTAGGCTGGCACTGGCTTGCTGTGGCAGGGCATGAATATGACTCCCAGTCTTCACATTTCCTTTTCCGCTGCTTCCGTCTTTCCTACCTGGGCTTAGGTTTTAGGTTTTCTTTCCTTGTTTAGCTTCACAGCTGTATATGTTATGTTTTCTGGCACCTTTGGGAATATTCCTATGAGGACTTAAGGATATGTTTATATAGGATGAGTTTTTCTAAAGTACTGCTTTTTCACAAATCCTGATGTCCAAGTGCCTTTTATTTTGCATCTGCCTCTGGCAGATGTCATGTTTTTAATAATGGAGTGAGCCATTTGGAGGAGGCAGTCCCCTGTCTTAGAAATGTTGCTATCCGGGTAAACTGCTATGTGAGGTTGTTACTTTGTTCAGAAGACTCTGTCGGTGCTTGTTCTGGGTATAGTCACTTGGGGCTTGAGATATTTCATGTAGTTGCTTAAAGCAGATGAATTCAGATCTGTGGGTCTATCAACCCTGATATAGTAGAATGTTCTTTCCTCAGATATTTCTTAAGTATTTTTGCCTTTAAAGTTTCTTTTGTAGATACGGATGATGGCTCTCAGGACTAGCTTTCATTTGCAACTATTTTCTATAATTGTTTTGCATTTCTTTAAGAAATATGTTTGTGAAAGAGGAATTGTAATAAAGATATTCCAAGGTTGAATGCTATTACTTGTTTTTCTGATTTTGCTTTGCTTTCAGGAGAGGCTGGCTCTTCGACATCAGTTGAATGAAGCAAAGCAGCAGCTCCTGCAGCAGGCAGAGTATTGTACAGAAATGGGGGCAGCAGCCTGTACCCTCCTGTGGGGCGTCTCCAGCAGCGAGGAAGTTGTCAAGGCCATTTTGGGAGGAGTAAGTATGCTCAGCAGGCTCTCTAGATATTGTTGATTAATGCTTGTGTAACTGAAAGCATTAAGGCATTTAAAGACTAAGTCCATCTTTCTTTCTTCCTTTTTTTTTTTTTTTGATATGGAGTCTTGCTCTGTTGCCCAGGCTGGAGTGCAGTGCTGTGATCTTGGCTCACTGCATCCTCCACCTCCTGGGTTCAAGTGATTCTCCTGCCTCAGCCTCCTGAGTAGCTGAGATTATGTGTGTGTGCTACCATGATTGGTTAGTTTTTGTGTTTTTTAGTAGAGATGGGGTTTCACCATGTTGGTCAGGCTGGTCTTGAACTCCTGACCTCGTGATCTGCCTGCCTTGGCCTCCCAAAGTGCTGGGACTACAAGCGTGACTAAGTCCATATGTTTCTTTCATTTCCTTTTGTTCATTCATCAGCTAGTTATTGAATACCAATTTTATATGGTTCATTGTAACCTACTGCAGAGTGAATGAAATCAGATCCCTTCTCTCCAGGAGCCCTTGTGGTATATGTGGATATGTTACCACTTCAGTATTAACATTTTACATGTGTATGAGTTTAACAAGATCAAAAGTGCTTTTATATATTATCTCATGGTCAATGTAGTATTTAATTTATTGAATATTATGTTATCTAACAGATACACATGTATGTGATTGTGTGTGTTATACAACCCTTGTTGTTCAAGGTTCAACCGTGTGTGTGTGTGTGTGTGTATGTGTGTGCACGCATGTGGGTGTTGATATATCAGGGAACATCACAGAAAAGGATAGATTTGAAATGGGCCTTGATGAACAGGTAGAAATGGCAGAAAACAGGTGGGTTTGTTTTAGGACAGTGAGTAGGTCAGTTAACACAGTGGTGAGTTAATGTAAGAAAGTAGTGGGGAGATAAAGCTTAAAGGTAGGTTGGGATGTGATTTTTGGGACCTTGAATACCAGGTTGATGATTTCTCCTGTAGGTGGTAGGACTGGATTTTCTCTGAGGGGTTTCCAGTAAAAGAGTGATAGCATAAGAGCAGAATTCTAGGAAGATTCACCTGACAGTGAGTGAGGATGAATTGAGGTGGGGTTGTGGCACCTCGGGTCTAGACAGGATGATCGATGAGGTGGTCATTCCAGCTGGTCTGGCTGGAGTGAGCTCGGCCCTCTGCAGGGGAGATGGGAAAGAAGGAACATGTGCCAGAGCCAGGGCAGTGGAGGCAGATGGGATGGCAAGGTGGAGTGAGCACCTGGAGGGGACAAGAGGGGCCAAAAAAGACTGGTGTTTGACTCTGGGAGTAGGGTGTGATCATGACTGGTGTTTGACTCTGGGAGTAGGGTGTGATCATGACTGGTGTTTGACTCTGGGAGTAGGGTGTGATCATGACTGGTGTTTGACTCTGGGAGTAGGGTGTGATCATGACTGGTGTTTGACTCTGGGAGTAGGGTGTGATCATGACTGGTGTTTGACTCTGGGAGTAGGGTGTGATCATGACTGGTGTTTGACTCTGGGAGTAGGGTGTGATCATGACTGGTGTTTGACTCTGGGAGTAGGGTGTGATCATGACTGGTGTTTGACGACAGTGAAGAGGGAGATGTGTCAGGAAACCAGTGGTAAATTACTTACGGGTAATAGAAGTAACAGTTGTGTTTGACTTTAGGTAGAAAGACTAAATGTGTTTTAAAAAGTTGGTTGAGCTTTATTAGGTTTAATTTATATACTATAAAATTGTAAATGTACAATTTAGTGTTTTTTTAGCAGATTTCTAGAGTTGCATTAACCATCACCACAACCGAGTTTTAGATTATTTTTTATCATCCTTGAAGTTTTCTTGTGTCATTTGTAAATGCAAATTTTTCCATTTTTTAAACCGTGTTAAAATGTGCATTTGTTTTAAAATTCTTTTTTCAGCACCCTAGCACCCCAGAGGAAGTAACTGAAGGGTTCAAACTTGGAAATGCTTTTTGCCAAGTAATGCAGATTTAACCTGCCAGAGGAGCCAGTCTTCATCCCTTTTACATGTTTCCATTAAGATTTTTTTTTTTTAAAAAGTCATGCTAAAGGTTTGAGCACCTCTGGTTTAATGCAAATAGAGCAAATAGCATATTTCTCAGTATATTTTACTTACATTTTTCAGCGAATTATTCTCATTGACCTTCATCATTGTGGACATTTGTCCTATTTCATAATATGCATATGAAGAGTCCACCAATCTTCAGGGTAGTTTTTCATGCTCCTGCACGATTCAAGCTGCTTTCTCTGCTCTTAATGGGAACTTTTAATGAGGGAATAGATTTTACGATATTATGTGATTAAAACTAGAATCTTCTATATCCTGCACTTTGAAATGTTTTCACACTAGTGTCTGTAAAAAGATATGACACTGTGATTTCCAAACTTTCAGGATAAAGCTTTGAAGTTTTTCAGCATCACTGGTCAAACAATGGAGAGTTTTGTGAAGTCACTGGATGGTGATGTCAAGGAGCTGAATTCAGATGAAAATCAGTTTGTTTTTGCTCTGGCTGGCATTGTAACAAGTAAGTGCAAGCACACCGTGGAGATATTGCATGTCTGGTTCCAGACTCTGCAATGAAGCAAATACTGCAGTAGCAGATGCGTCCCATGCAGCTCTCGGTTTCCCAGTGCATATGCAAATTATGTTTACACTATACTGTCGTCTGTTATCTGTACAATGGCATTATGTCTAAAAAACAATGTATAAACTTTAATTAGAAAATACTGTATTGCTAAAAATCCTAATGATCATCTGAGCCTTTACCAAGTTACAATTTTTTGCTGGTAGAGGTTCTTGCCTTGATATTGATGGCCGCTGACTGATGAGCGTGGTAGTTACTGAAGGTCTGGGTGGCTGTGGCGATTTCTTAAAAGGAGGCAACCATGAAGTTTGCCCATCTGTGAACTCTCCTTTCATGTAAGATTTCTCTGTAGCATGTGATGCTGTTCGATAACATTTTTTCCATGGTAGAACATCTCTCAGAATTGGAGTCAGGTGTCTCAAACCCTGCTGCTGCTTTGTCAACCAAATTTATGTAACATTCTGAATCCTTTGTTCTTATTTCAACAACGTCTTCGCATCTTCTCCAAGAATAGATTCCATCTCAGGAAACCACTTTCTTTGCTCTTCCATAAGAAGCAACTCATCTGTTGTCTGTAGTTACTTATTCTACTGAAGACATGAACTCTTCAAGGTCATCCGTGAGAATTGAAATCAACTTCTTCCAAACTCCTGTTAATGTTGTTTTTTTGACCTCCTCCCTTGCATCATGAATATTTTTATTTTATTTTATTTTTTGAGACGGAGTTTTGCTCGTTACCCAGGCTGGAGTGCAATGGTGCGATCTCGGTTCATGGCAACCTCCACCTCCTGCGTTCAGGCAATTCTCCTGCCTCAGCCTCCTGAGTAGCTGGGATTACAGGCACACGCCACCATGCCCAGCTAATTTTTTGTATTTTTAGTAGAGACAGGGTTTCACCGTGTTGACCAGGATGGTCTCGATCTCTTGACCTCGTGATCCACCCGCCTCGGCCTCCCAAAATGCTGGGATTACAGGCGTGAGCCACCGCACCTGGTGCATCATGAATATTCTGAATGGCATCCAGAATGGTGAACCCTTTTTAGAAGGTTTTCAGTTTACTTTACCCAGATCTATCAGAGGAATCACTGTCTGTAGCAGATGTAGCCCTTATGAAATGTAGTTCTTAATAAAAATAGGACTCAGAAGTTGAAATTTCTTTTTGATGTCTGAGCTGAAGAAAAGATCTTGTATTAACAGACATGGAGTCAACATTCCTCTCCTTGTCCATCTCTATCATGGCTCTGGATTGACCAGGTGCATTGTCAATTAACAGTAGTATTTTCAAAGAAATCTTTTATTCTGAGCAGTAGGTCTCAACAGTGGGCTTAAAACTATTCAGTAAACCATGCTTCAACAGATGTGTTGTTATCTAGGCTTAGCACGGGCAACAGTGTATTTAGCATAATTCTTACAGGCTCTAGGATTTTCAGAATGGGAAACCAGCATTGGCTTCAATGAAAGTCACCAGCACCATTAGCCCCTAACAAGAGAGTCAGCCAGTCTTTTGATGCTTTGAAGCCAGGCCTTGACTTTTCTCTAGCAGTGAAAGTCCTAGATGGCGTTTTCTTCCGATAGAAAGCTGTTTTGTCTACGTTGCAAACCTCTTGTTGAGTGTAACCAACTCCAGCAGCGATCTTAGCTAAGAAGCAGCTTAGCTTGTTGCTGCAGCTTTGCAGGTTCTCCATCAGCACTTGCTGCTGTATTTAAGGAAAGAGACAAGTTCTTTCCTTAAACCTCATGAAGCAACCTGTATGAGCTTCCAGCTTTTCTTCTTCAGCTTCCTCAACCTTGTCAGCCTTCATAGCATTGAAGAGCAATTTTTCTGGCTGATTTTTGATCTTCTATCTAGAATACGTGGGCTTTCTCCATATCAGCAATAAGGCTCTTTTGCTTTCTTACAATTCATTGTTCACTGGAGTAGTACTTCTAATGTCTATCAGGAACTTGGTGTTTGCAGTCATAACTTGGCTGTTTGGTGCAAGAGGTCTGACTTGCAGCAGGCCTCAGCTTTGGCCATGCCTTCCTTGCTGAGCTTAATCATTTCTAGTTTTTGATTTCAGATGTGCAACTCTTCCTTTTGCTTGAACGTTTAGAGTCATTGTAGGGTTATTAATCGGCCTAATTTCAATATTGTTGTGTCTCAGGGAATAGCAAGGCCCTAGGAGAGGGAGAGAGAGGGGCATGGTCATCATTGGAACAGTCAGAAGATAGGTGACATGCACTGATCAGATTTGCTGTCTCATATGGGTGTGGTTCATGGTGCCCCAACACAGTTACAGTGGCCACATCAGAAATCACTGATCACAGATGACCACAGCAGATGTAATAGTAATGAAAAAATTGGAAGTACTGCAAGAATCACCAAAATGTGGCACAGAGACATGAAGTAAACACATACTGTTGGAAAAATGGCGCCAACAGACTTGCTCAATGCAGGGTTGCCACATTCCTTCAATTTGTAAAAAATAAAAAATAAAAAACAGTATCTGCAAAGCACATTAAGTCGAAGGTGATAAAATGAAGTGTGCCTGTGATTCTTCTCAACTGTAGTGACTTGTAGAGACTGGTGTTACAGTCAGGGTTCAGTGTGTGTAAACATCGCTCTGGATAGGTACCAGGTGTGTTTATTTTCGAAAATCACCCCAGGTGATTCTGAGAAGTATCAGTTATTGAGAACGAATGATATAAAGGAAACAGATGAGTTTTCATGTTCTGGGTAGTTACATACCTTGACAGGAAAAAAAAAACTGAGTTTAGTTGCTTTTATTGAGAATCATAATTTTACTGTCTAGCCTTAAGCTAAGGTTAAACTGAGCTCTTTGCTATTGTTTTAGTATAATTATATAATTCCAAAAACCTAAATTGCCTCTTCAGTAAAATTCTCCTAAAAGGTAATAAAGTAAAGCTTTCCCTGGGAGTTACGATAAAATTCCATATCAAAACTGTCATAAGGGATAAAGTCTAGGGACTAAATCATTTCTTAGAATAGAGGCCAGGCACGGTGGTGCATGCCTGTAATCCCAGCATTTTGGGAGGCTAAGGTAGGTGGATGACTTGAAGTCAGGCGTTTTAGACCAGCCTGGCCAGCATGGGGAAACCCTGTCTCTACTAAAAATCAAAAAAAATTAGCCAGGTGTGGTTATGCACACCTGTAATCCCAGCTACTTGGGAGGCTCAGGCAGGAGAATTGCTTGAACCTGGGAGGCAGAGGTTGCAGTGAGCCAAGATTACACCATTTCACTCCAGCCTGGTGACAGAGCAAGACTCCGTCCCCCACCCCGTAAAAGTTACTTAATATAGAAAGAGGTGGAATGTGGCTGGATGCAGTGGCTCATGCCTGTAATCCCAGCAATTTGGGAGGCTGAGGCTGTGGATTGCCTGAGGTCAGGAGTTCAAGACCAGTCTGGCCAACATAGTGAAACCCCGTCTCTACTAAAAATACAAGAAAGTAGCTGAGTGTTGTGGTGGGCACCTGTAATCCTAGCTACCTAGGAGGTTGCAGTGAGCCAAGATTATGCCATTGCACTCCAACCTGGGCAACAAGAGTGAAACTCTGTCAAAAAAAAAGAAAAAGAGGTGGAATGTACTAGTGAGTATTGAGGCTCTTTGTTCTGAAGTCAGTGAAATGGTTCAGTACATTGCTGTGACTTAGCCTTGAACAACGAGATTCAGAAAGTATGACTAAGTACAGAGTTTATTTGTGCACAGAGCTTGACAATGGCCACTCAGAAACACCACCTCCAAACCAATGGGGTCAGCGTTCCACAGTGAAGAATTACATAGGCAGAGACAGAGAAGTTCCAGCAGGATTGAGACCTGTGTGGATCCCACAGTGATTTGCCTGTTTACATATTGCTACATTCCCGGGAAGTTTATCGGAGGAAGTCTTATCTCCAGCACAGTTTGGTCTTAATTATTTACAGGAAAGAAAGGCAGAATTTGCAGCCCAGAGCCACATTCCTCTTAATGCTTGGGATAATTCAAAGTTCCAACAGCTTCTTCAAGTTTCAATTATTTAATTTCAGACTGTTTTTTTTTTTTTACATTGATCTTTAATCTCTTCTGTATTATTATTGTCCCATGCTGCTCTTAGGCAAATTCTCTGCTATTAAAGAGAGAAAAAATTGGATTTTCCTCATGGCATTATCCTTCTTTTATTGAAATCCTAATGGGGAAGGTCCTGTGTAGATATTTTTCTCTTAATCCCTTAAAACTTGGTGATACTTCTTGTGGGTGGATGCTGAGATTGTATTTTCTGGCTATTCCTCACTCGGCCCAGTGCTTTGTCCAGGGTGGGGCAGAATTCTGCACGTTTATCCGGGCACCTACAGTTGTAGCAGGCTTCGTTGCTCTCCCTTTTAAAACATTGTTTAAAGGTTGTCTTTTAACAGAGGCATCTGCAAATTTGATGATTTGCATTTTCTTCTCCTTGCAAGTGACCCCAGAGGCGTATGATTGATGCCATTTGTCATTTTGCCGCTTGTGAATTTGAGCTGCCGGAATTGCTGGCTGGCAGGCTGCTGAGGCGGCGGGCTAGTGAGTGAAACCACCCTGTCGCCCAGCATTCAAGCTCAGCGTGGCTTTGTTTTCCGGTGCTGCTGGTGGTTCACACAGGAACTCTTATGAAGAGTCGAATAGTGGGCGCTTATATTTGCACATGAATGAATTCGACTGGGAAGAATGTTTATTAAAGTGCTGATTTGCAGAGGCACTGGGGGCTTATGTGTCTGAAACACCAAGACTATTCAGTGGTAGCAGAGACATGGGTTAGCTGTCAAGTGGATCCTTTTCCTTCTAAAACAAATGTTCTTTTACCAATTTTATATACAGTAAATTCATTCTTTAGCTGTTTTTTTTTTAACCTTTTTGCAGTTCTTTAAGTTTTGACAAAGGTATGCAGCTGTTTTCCCACCACAATTAGGTTGTGGAACTCCCGTTCC